TTATTTTAATCAATTAAAAAAAATTTTAAACCCCCATTATACTTATTTTAAATTTAAAATGATATATTTTGTTCTATGAAAAACATAATTTTCCTAATTAGAAGTTATAAAAGCCTTATAAGGTCTTACTCTCTAATTAATTACTTTAAGTAAGGAGTTAAAAAAGCGTATTAGGAGAAATTTTGGTCTACTTAGGATTTTTAACTTCTAATTACTATGTAGAGAAAAGTCTAATAAGAGCGATGTACGTCCTAATTTGACGTGTTATTTCTGATTAGGAGAAATAAAATCCTAATTAGTAAAAAGCTAATAAGCAGTGACAAAGTTCAAATTAGGATTTTATATCTTTTAGTTCCTAATTAGGAATTCAATAGTCCTACTTCCTAATCATGACTTAAATTCCTTAATTTGACAAAGTGTAAATTAAAATTTTCTTCTCAACTTCAAATTAGGAGGTACAAAGTCCTAATTTTAATTCTATTTAATTTATCCTAATTACGCTTTTTAAAGTCTTACAATGAGTTACAAAGTCAAGGTTGATATAAGATGTATTTTACCTTAAAGTTGTAACTAGGAGTAACAAAGTTCTAGTTTCTATTTAGAAATAACAAAATCCTAATTAGTCTTTTAAACTTCCTAATCAGACTGACAGAATTCAAATTTTTCCATAGAAATACTAAAACATTTCTGAAAACGCTGTCATTTTTTAGAGATTTTCGACCGTGCGACCACATACACGCATCGAGGACATGTTGGAAGGAAAGTGACCGTGCGACCACATACACGCATCACAGGATTCCCCTTCTCATACGAGAAAGGGACAAAGAGTTGTCCGACCCTTTATCAAAGGGCAGACTTTAAAAATATGCCATTTCCTTATTGTTATTCATAAGGAGGCTAATATCCACATATATGTCTTGAATTAATATATATACAACTATGGTTACGCAAACCAAATGGGTATCAGTTTTTCAGCCTTTTAAGCTCGTTATAAAAAATTTAAAAAGCGTATATAATTTCTTGGAAAATCTTGAGTTTGTCCTTTTTCTACTTTTTATTTTATGTATATTATAGATATTATAGAGTTATTTAATTTCTGCAAAACATGAACGTTTCCGAAACGTTTTATATGCGTTAATTGGGGGAGATAATTTTCACACTTTGTCCGCAATATTATTGGTGGGGGGGGGGCGGGGGGGGGGGGGGGGCAATTTGACAAATTACGTTGAGTTTGTATACTCGACTTGTAATACTTGTAATAAAAAAAGATTCAGTGATGGACTGCAAGAAAAAACAGATTAAACTTGAGCAGATGACAGTGCTGGCACTGGTAAAAATATATGTTTGCAAGCAAAATCCTTACCCTGCAGAATTTGTGAGCTTACATTTTTGGATCTGTCCATTATCAGCTAACAGTACATAACCTGACTGCACGGATGTTCAACCTGTCTCGCCTCTATACTGGTTAAATTATTTCGGTTCCAACAGGGTAAAATTGCAGTGTTGTTTACAGTTGACATATTTACACAATTACATTTGATCAAACGCGTCGGACAAGTAATCTAAGTATTGCTGGCTGGCTGTGTTCAGGTCCCGTCAGGGGCAATTCGTGGTTACCTTGAGCAAGAAACTTTATACACATGTTACGAAATACCCACACCGTATTACTCAGTTTTCGCTCAAAATATTTCTGTAATCGTATATTAAAGGGACTCCATTGAGTTATTTTTGACATGATGGGAATGAAAATGTTTTTCCAGATAAATGTACATTTGATGTAGGTTTAGACCACTAATCTTTGTGCATAATTTTAATTCATTCGCGCTCTTCGTTTTTCCAGAATAATTATTCAAATTGTAAAAAAATGACCAAAATTATAAATCTTTTCACTCAAATCTGGGAAAGAATCGCATAAAAATACGATTTTGCAATTTATTTCAAAGTATATGTCTTAACTATCTTTGCATATATTTCTGTTTAAAGAGCCCCAGCTCATTTATGTAAGAATTCAAATGTTATGTTTTATACGGAATGCCGTTAGGGCCATTGCCTATTAATGTGTTGATCTGAAACGCGATAGTCGATAGTACGATGGTGAAAACGCGAAATCACGAAACTACGATGGTGAAAACGCGAAAGTACGATGATGAAAACGCGACAGTACGATACTACGATGATGAAAACGCGATAAACTATCGTGTTTTCACCATCGTACTGTCGCGTTTTCACCATCGTGGTTTCGTGATTTCGCGTTTTCATCATCGTACTGTCGTGTTTTCATCATCGTACTATCGCGTTTTCACCATCGTACTATCGCGTTTTCATCATCGTACTGTCGTGTTTTCATCATCGTACTATCGCGTTTTCACCATCGTACTGTCGTGTTTTCATCATCGTACTATCGCGTTTTCATCATCGTACTATCGCGTTTTCATCATCGTACTATCGTGTTTTCACCATCGTAGTTTCGTGATTTCGTGTTTTCACCATCGTACTATCGACTATCGCGTTTCAGATTAACACATTCATAGGCGATGGCCCTAACGGCATTCCAGAATGCCGTTAGGGCCATTGCCTATGAATTGTTTGACCTGAACGCGATACTCGACAGTACGATGATGAAAACGCGAAATCACGAAACTACGATGGTGAAAACGCGACAGTACGATGGTGAAAACACGATAGTTTATCGCGTTTTCATCATCGTAGTATCGTAATGTCGCGTTTTCATCATCGTACTATCGCGTTTTCATCATCGTACTTTCGCGTTTTCACCATCGTAGTTTCGTGATTTCGCGTTTTCACCATCGTATTATCGACTATCGCGTTTCAGATCAACACATTCATAGGCGATGGCCCTAACGGCATTCCGTAGTTTTAGGCTTGTAAACATCAGTGGAGTCCATTTAACCTCATTCAAAGTTTAAACAAATTCGAGTATACTATTTCACTATGCTGATACATGTATGTCAAACTGTAGCTTTCATTTGTAATATTTTTAAGAAGTGCATCGAAGAAACACTTTTAAATGACACATAGTAAAGGTAATTTAAAATCAAAGAAGTCCATCAATTCAATACATGAAAATATAAACTATATACCTATGCCTACGAACACAACAATAAGAAACATAATAACAGACCAGGCTTATTAACAAACATTGGAAAATTCATGAGAATTGCTATATTTATAGCCGTAGTGAATCTTGTTTTGTCCAGTAACTGTGCTTTCAATTAAACGCTTTCTCGATGCACCTACCGCATTAATTAATATATTTTCTGTCATGAGAAAAATATACATGTAACAATTAATAGTTTAAAGTCTAGATAGTGAATAAAGATACAATAATGAAATTAATTGTAGAGTGATCTTAATTTTCTGTCAGAATGTAAGCCACCTTCAGAGCGCTTCTGTCATCATCGGCAGCCTGGTTCGTAAAAAGGCTTAAATTTTAATGTCCTTCAGAATGTCCTGTCTATTGTCCTACCAGCAGAACATCAAGTAAATTTTGAATGTCTTAATAAATTTCCTGGCAAGTGTCGTGCCAGCAGAACATTGTGTAAAATGTCAATGTCCTGATGTATATCTTGTCGAATGTCGTGTCAGACAGACCATGATAATGCAAAAATGATCAGACGAAAAAAAAAGAAGGAAAAAAGAGAAAGTAATGCCAGAATGACGGCTAAACAGCGATGGTCCTAATTAAAGTCTACCTGTTAACATCTTTTTCAGATCAAGAAACTGTGCAAATTATTGAAGGGGGCTATATTGACATATTATGTGACAGTACTGGGTACCAGGGAGATCAGATTTACTGGGAAAGTGATAATAGATTATTTCATGTTGACGGGAACCAGCTGTCTTTAAAAGCAATCACACGGAACCAGTCTGGATCATACGGATGTTATTCACTGACTGGGGAACGTTCTGATGTTATAGAAAAGATTTTTCTTGATGTTCTTTGTAAGTAAGGTGAAAAGTTCGTGCCGTATTCCATTTTTCATCTTCGTTCTGTTGTTGTTGCTGTTGTTGTTGCTATTGTTGTTGTTGTTGTATTTTCGCCTATATTTTAGACCAATCGAGAACACGTGATCAATGAATCACTACAAGTCACCAATGATAACGATCGAATTTCTCTTAATCATATACTTATAGACTTCACGTATTTTCAAACCCATTGTGGCTGAGGGGTTGCCTTTAAGGATTGAGGCATCAGAACTGCTGTCACCGTTTATCTCTTGGGTGATCGCAGGAGGCGACTAAATGGGTTCGATTTACTGGAGTCTATACATCTCTTAGCTCCAGCTGGTATGGGGTGGTTCTGACCCCTGGTGTTGCTTAAATTTAAGTTTGTAACACCCGAGGCAAAACCATCTTTCCTGTTTCGGCGCCATATGACCTAAATTGTATCGGTGCGCTGTAAAAACAAACAAAACAAGTCACGTATGTTCATTCAGGCAAATATAAATGCAATATGGTTCTTTTCACTGTTTTTCACATTTTTTGCAGATCCTGCAAAGATATTAACCTGGGATTCCCCATACAGCAGACTGGTTCAGAATGACAGTTATAACATGGTGGTTTACATACAAGGGAATCCCCCGCCTGACCAAATACTTCTCATATCAAATCAAACAGAAAAAGTCTTGTTCCGAGATAAAGGCGATGGAAGAAGAAATATAACACTGAAGTCAGTGCAATGTGGGGATAGTGGAACGTATCATCTATACGCTGTAAATGACCTCGACACGGACGTGTTCACTAAGGACATAACAGTGTACTGTAAGCAGTATATTATATTTTTTAAACGTAGATTATTAAGGGGTTGAAAATTACTTTCGCTAAATGTTCCAATAATTACACCATGTATTCAAAAGTCAATACAAAAGGTGAGATTGACGGCGACAGTTTTTACTATATCCATGAAAATGTAACATTGGAGTCGCGTGGTGGGTAATTATTAGCGTTCGTTTTTATATCTACAGTAGATTTTTTAGGTATATTCAAGTTCTAAGTGTACATCTGAACGATCCTACCAACAAGCTGCTGGTCTTGTAAAAGTTTTACTTTACAAAATTTGGATTTAAATAAATGTAAACATAAATTTCGATGAGATGAGGCATTTAACCTAATCAGTCATATAAAATCCGTTTTCTGGTCTTTGCTATATTTCTTTATCTTTATAATTATGCCACCTATTAAGCCAAACTTTGAAAGCATAAACTTGATTTTACGGAGAAAACGTATGAAGAAATAAATACCGACTTGCAGTTAATTTGCATTGACGCCAACGCTACTTTAATATACATTCTGTACAGCTGTTGTCGTCGTTTTCAACTGTTGTCATTTTCAACTGTTGTGTCGTTTTCCGACTGTATTATGAGTATAATAAGTGGTATATATTTTCATACCTATCAGTCATTTGCTTTCAAAGTTGGTCTGTAAATTCGTCTTTTTAATATTCAAGCTCGGGTTCCGTTGTCTAATTCCAGTTAAAATATTATTAAAACACGAAACTTAAAATCCATTCACAAATAAAAATGTGAGTTATAATTATCTTTTTGTTTAATTTCTAAAGTTATTCTATTGATTCAAACTCAAATCTGTTTCAAAAAGGTGTACCATACCTTGATCCGGACAAGACAACACAGTTTGAAATGAGGCCCCGCCTAGGGGAGACAATATACCTGGAAATGCACTCCGCTGGCTTTCCACAGCCTAACTTCACATGGTCGTTTGAGGGCGCTCCATTAAAGCATACTGACGACGGTTACACAAGTACGGTTCAGCTGGACAATGTCCACGTACATGACTTCGGGGAATATCAGTTGGATATGGAAAATTCAGTTGGAAAAACAACTTACTTCTTCCACGTGATTCCGTCAGGTATATGAATTTATATCTAAGACGCCTGCAAGAGAAATCGCCCCTGTTTCAAAACATATTTGGACGCAGGTTGGTTGAAAGTTGTAAAGTGTATACTGGTTTGAGTTTGTTCGCCAGTCAAGCCGTTTAGATGTCTGGCCGTCTCTGTTCGCATCTTCTTTAAAACCGCTGAAACCATTTTTTTTTTTTAATTGACATGAGTATTTGTTATGTTTACTTGCGCATTAAGATATTCACATGACTTTAAATGGCCTTGACCTTTAAAGGCATCTGAAATTAGTCATAACGTAATTATAAATTGATGTATTGAACTTGGACATAACAACCCTTTTAAGAAGGTCAAACTTAGCTTGACCCTGACTTAAATACATTTATAATTTTGACATTAATGGTAAAAATATTGATTTATTTTCTAAAATTGGAAATATCTTGTTTTATCAATGGACAGCTTTGATTTTTTATACGGACAAATTTAAAGTAAGCATAAACCCCTCATGTTTAGCAAATTAATTTTGACCTTGACCTTAAATTTCAAGTTCATATTAGGAAGTTTATTGACTTTTGTTAAAATTGGAATTTACTTCCTTATTACTGGGTGTATTGTATTCATTTTTGGGTATAACAATCCATTTGTTTATTCCTACTAGTAGGTCAAACCTACATTGATCTTTTCATGACCTTGACCTTGATGGTTGAATTATTGATTTTGCTTAAATCGGCCTTAATAAATGGATAGATTTTGGCAATACTTGAACAAAACTACTCTGATTATATAATTGATTGTCATGTTGAGAAAATCATGGATAGGCTCTGAAACTCTTGTTCTTTTCTAGGAATTTATTCAGAAATTTGTCTTTTCAACGGCAAAATTAAATGAGCCGCGTCTCGACAAAACCAACGTAATGCGTTTGCGACCAGCATGGATCCAGACCAGCCTGCGCATCCGCGCTGTCTGATCAGGATCCATGCTGTTCGCTATCAGTTTCTCTACTTGTAATAGGGTTTGTAGCGAACAGCATGTATCCTGATCAGACTGCGCGGATGCATTACGTTGGTTGTGTCGTGACGCGGCTCAACTATTTATTCAGTCTTACTAAAAAACATGTTTTCATCTGAACAGGTCCACCTGAACCTCCAAGTGACTTGACGTTCATTGATTCAACCACATATAGTGCAACATTGAGCTGGGCACCAGGCTACGATTACAATAGCACGCAAACGTTCGTAATTGTGGATTCCAAATTTAATGGTACCTAGCTTCATTTTTTAGCTCGACTATACGAAGTATATTGAGAGCTGTCCTACTCGCCCCGGCGTCGGCGGTGGCGTCCGCGTCCGCGTCGGCGTCCAGATTTCAGATTAAAGTTTTGGTGCAGTAAAATATTTTTCACTATAACTTTGTCATTTCTTAAGGTATCAATTTCAAACTTCAAATATATGCTCCTTATCATCAACCACATCTTATGTGACAAGGTTCATAACTCTAGCGCCAATATTTTCAGATTCATCTCCCCTTGAACTTAGAATTCTCCTTAAAAAATACTATTTTTTACGGTTACTTCTTTATTTCTTAGGGGGTAAACTTCATACTTCAAATTTATCTTTCTTATCATCAACCACATCTTATGTATCAAGGTTCATAACTCTAGCACCAATATTTTCAGGTTTATTTCCCCTTGAACTTAGAATTTTCCTGGAAAAAAAAACTATTTTTTACTGTTCCTTCTTTATTTCTTAAGACATCAACTTCCTACTTCAAATATATGTACCTTATCATCATCCACATCTTATGTGACAAGGTTCAAAACTTTAGCACCAATATTGCAAGAATTATCTCCCCATAAACTTAGATTTTTTTTTACTAGAAAAATGTTATTTTTACTATGATTTTTTTAGTTTTAAAGGTATCTGCCTCAAACTTCAAATACTTATTCCTTATCATCAATTACATTTTATGTGACAATGTTCAAAAATCTTGAAGCAATATTTACAGATTTATTTCTCTTTGAACTTAGGATTTTCTTTAAGAAATATAATAACTTCTTTACTTTTTAAGGTATCTACTTCAAACTTCAAATATATATTTCTTATCATTAGACACATGTTGTATGACAAGGTTCATATCTCTAGCGAGACTATTTCTAGAATTATTCCCCTTGATCTTGGAATTTATGTTAACAATGTTATTTTTTTACAATAACTTAAAACATAATTATACATAATTGATTTTTCTTTCATAGTTTTGTCTTCCTTACTGCATCCAGTATTTTATTAGTCGAGCTTCGCTGTCTCCTGTGACAGCTCTTGTTTTTATATTTATTTACATGTACCCTTAAAAGGCGATGTTTATATCCATCATGTAAATTCGTGCAATGTCACCAGCTGGTGTGCTGTAAATGTTGTTTACTTAAAGTGGTGTGTATGAAGTCTGTGAACGAAAGGGTGGTCAAACTTAAGCAGGGTAATATCTAAGGTTTTAAGCTCAGATATAACTGTAACCGATCATGGAAAGTTCTTAACGAATATCTTACCAATATGATCAACAAATATCTTACCAATATGATCAACAAATATCTTACCAATATGATCTACTAAAATTATAATCTCCAAAAATCTTACCAATATTATCAACTAATATTATAATCTCCGAATATCTTACCAATACTATCAACTAATATTATAATCTCCAAAAATCTTACCAATATTATCAACTAATATTATAATCTCCGAATATCTTACCAATACTATCAACTAATATTATAATCTCCAAAAATCTTACCAATATTATCAACTAATATTATATTCTCCAAAAATCTTACCAATTTTATCAACTAATATTATAATCTCCGAATATCTTACCAATATTATCAACTAATATCATAATCTCCAAAAATCTTACCAATATTATCAACTAATGTATTAATCGCCAAAAATCTTACCAATTTTATCAAGTAATATTATAATCTCCGAATATCTTACCAAATTATCAACGAATATTATAATCTCCAAAAATCTTACCAATACTATCAACTAATATTATAATCTCCAAAAATCTTACCAATACTATCAACTAATATTATAATCTCCAAAAATCTTACCAATTTTATCAACTAATATTATATCTCCAAAAATCTTACCAATATTATCAACTAATATTATTATCTCCGAATATCTTACCAATACTATCAACTAATATTATAATCTCCAAAAATCTTACCAATACTATCAACTAATATTATATTCTCCAAAAATCTTACCAATTTTATCAACTAATATTATAATCTCCAAAAATCTTACCAATACTATCAGCTAATATTATAATCTCCAAAAATCTTACCAATATTATCAACTAATATTATAATCTCCGAATATCTTACCAATACTATCAACTAATATTATAATCTCCAAAAATCTTACCAATATGATCAACTAGTATTATAATCTCCAAAAATCTTACCAATATTATCAACTAATATTATAATCTCCGAATATCTTACCAATACTATCAACTAATATTATAATCTCCAAAAATCTTACCAATATGATCAACTAATATTATATTCTCCAAAAATCTTACCAATTTTATCAACTAATATTATAATCTCCAAAAATCTTACCGATACTATCAACTAATATTATATTCTCCAAAAATCTTACCAATATTATCAACTAATATTATAATCTCCGAATATCTTACTAATATTATCAACTAATAGTATAATTTCCAAAAATCTTACCAATACTATCAACTAATATCATAATCTCCAAAAATCTTACCAATACTATCAACTAATATTATAATCTCCGAATATCTTACCAATACTATCAACTAATATTATAATCTCCAAATATCTTACCAATATTATCAACTAATATTATAATCTCCAAATATCTTACCAATGTCGTCAACGGATATATTATTAATTTTATCAGATTTTTTTACAATATAAAATATAAGTATAATTTTATTGCTTAATATAATTCATTTTATTTTCATTTGTATGTAAAATATATACACTCGTTATACATTTAACAAAAACAAAGATTACTCTCTCTCTCTCTGTTTTAGTTTACATCTAAAACCACGTGGAAGAATTACTTTCAATCCGTATTAAGTCTGAGGTTATTATGAATAACAGCCGAGATGTTCCGATTGATACAATGTAAACCAAAAAAAAACGACCAAGTGATGACAATTGAAATAAAAATACTGATGTGTTCAATCTTGAAAATAAATAGCGCGCCTCTGAGATTATTTCCAACATAATATCGTACCAGGGGGAGATAAATGAGTGACATCATATTGAAAAAGATCACGGTTCTTTTCGATTTTTTTTCTGGATATTACATGCAATAACACCCATTTATGGTCGCTGATTTGATACACTTTTGTGCGTCGCGTTGGCGATAGCGACAACACGACAAAGCGCCAAACGGCGCGTTGTCGCGCTGTCGTCTTGTCGTCCTGTTTAGCAAAGCACGCCAAACGGCGCGTTGTCGTGCGGTATGTTGTCGCGAGGAAGTAAAAGTAAGGAAAGACCACGAAGTAGAGTTTGGAGCGAAACAAATTTGATATGTGGGGGTCTTTTTAAAAAAAAAAAAGATTTTATCTACGCTATGATATTAACATTTTTTTCTTCATCAGCAGTGCTTGACAAAATAATATATGTACACATGCTTTTCTCATTTTAGTTTTATACGAATTCACAGAAGATACAAATAATGTTGGAAACATAACAACAAAAACAGTTGACCGTCTTACACCTAATCATCTTTATAACGTCACAATATTTGCCAGAAACAAAAACGGTACATCTCGAGATCTAAATGCCGTCAGTTTCTACACTCAAGGTAAGTTTCAAACCAGACCTTGTCGTTTTGGATTTTTCGAAGGCGTATTGCCAATTTCATTTGTTACAGAAACTAAGTCTTCACAAGATTTACTAAATGCGTATTGCCAATTTCATTATCTGACGGAAATTTCCTCTTTTACTACATGCGTATTGCCAATTTCATTATGTGATGGACATTTTTTCTTTTACTACATGCGTATTGCCAATTTCATTATGTGACGGAAAATTCCTCTTTTACTACATGCGTATTGCCAATTTCATAATGTCAGCGAAACCAAGTTTTTTTTTGTTTTTTTTTTTTTTTGGCGAATTGTCAAATTTATTTTATTCAGAAACCAAATCTTCTTCTTGGAATGAAATTGCCAATTTCATTGTTTTACAGGTACCAGATTATCTAATGTTTGTACTATCCCTATTGCCATTTTTCAAAACTGCAAGCTCATTTTGCATGGTTATAGGCAAATTAGCAATGGGTTTCAGTATCAGTTCTCCGTTTAATGCAGTTATAACTTCACTTTTAAAGGCCGTAATTTCTTATGTTAATTTAAAACATCACGTCTTTCTTTGTGTAATGCCAATTTGAATGCATTACTTAAACTATGCATTCGTACATTTAGGCAAATTTCAATATATATTTTTTTCTTTTCCAGAGAGCTCGGTCCCATTAGGCGTTATTTTAGGTGTAGTTTCGTCGTCTGTTGTAATCGTTGTGCTGTACAGTTTGGCTATTAAATACTGCTCCAAGAAAAAGGGTAGGTATAAAGAAATTATTTCAAAAATATTCTCTAGCATTTCATAAAATTGTAAAAAAATATCTATAACAACACTTTTTAAGCTAAGAGTAGGGGAAAACACATAACTTAACATCAAGCAGTTGATAATGGTTTATATATTTTTATTTTTGCTCACCGAGTGTCATATTTACATTGACATCACAAAAACACCTTGATAGACAAAACGTGTAACGTCATAAATAACGTCATAGTTATCGGATAACGTAAGGAGTGTGACATGATCATAATTTTTATTTGAACATTTTATATATCGTTCAAGTATATTTTTACATGGATACAAACCTTTAATATACATATAATGTATGTTTTCAGATGTTCAATCCGAAAAGCAACCCCTCCTTCAAGGTATCTTAGTATTAATAATTTATACTAGTATAGAGTCGTATCATTAAAGGCACATTATGCCTCAAAAACAAATATGTTTTTCCTTTTTAGCTCACCTGTCATAAAGTGACATGGTGAGCTTTTGTGATCGCTTTTCGTCCGGCGTCCGTCCGTCGTCCGTAAACTTTTACTTATAATATTACGCCTACGTCACATTTCAAGCGGGGACCGGCCGATATAGAGGGATCGATGGGACACCGTTGATAATTTGAGATCGGAGAGAAACATTTCAATCATGTCCGGGAAGAAGTGGGCGGTCATTCTCCCTCTGTGGTCAGTAAGGTATTCGGACGGTTTCCGAAGGGTACTCGCCCGGTCACCCGGTGAAAACCCTTGGCGTCTTCTTTCTGGACACCGGTCGATATTCTAAAGGTACCCGGCAGACTACCGTACGATTAATGTTCAATTGCCTTCCGTTATCTGGCCTGTTTGCAACGATCGTACGGTGACGGTTAAGTATACGTGCGATATCTGGTCGGCTGTCGGACGGTATTCGTATGGCATGCTATCCCATTTTTCGGCCGTTATTCACACCCCCTCTTTCGTTTGCATTTTCCCTTGCCTTCTTCTCCTCTGATTTCTCCCCCACCCCTTCTTTGATTTCTATTTTGGAAGGAATATTACACTCTGAAATCAAAGTTTTCCATGAAAGATTGTAAATGAAACTTGAAAACTTTTCACAAACCTCCATGGACGTGTGTAAAAACTGAGAGAATATGTGTGTGTAATTGAGTTTCTAAATACTAGCCATCGGTTGCTCGTATAGGCGAGTCCTCCAGAAGAGTATTAGTCGTTCTAGATGTTGGAGGAAAGCGCAAGATACAGATAGCAAGATGCCCTTACTTTAGAAAAATATGAAAAACAAGATCAAAAAGGAATGCGGCGTTCAATGAACGCAACCACGACACTATCTAGCAACACAGGATGACCAACGTGAAAGAGCAAAGCAGGACCCCAAACAATCTTCTCCTTCTTTTTTACCTATCCAAGTGCAGGGACCTCGCTTTAAAGTCTCGTCTGAAAGATTTCTAGTAATTTCAGTTGGTCATCCCGGGAATCGAACCCACAATGTACAGATTACAAGTCTAGCGCTTTAACCAATTCAGCTCTGCACGCTGGCTAATGAGAGAATGATAGTGTTATTAATGATTTACACTGAGGACTTCGGCAGTAAACCAACTTGAATATACATACCAGAGCCAGTTCAGTCACTGCATCGTTCCTGGATAGTCTGTCAAGCAGTTAAACATTAATAATCTCTTTCACTTTCGCAAGGTACTGATAACATCTGTACAACGAAAGTGACCTTCACCGTCGTCCGAGAATTGAACACGGGTCAAAGGCTTTACCTGCCGTAAGGTCTGTTTAATTACCCCAACGCTATCCTTACGGACATTTTAGGACCATACGTGCGACGTACTCACAGACGCTTGTGGTTTGGAGCTCAAAACGCCTTTAAAATCCAAATAAAATGCATATTTGTCAATCCAAGGACATGTACTGATCATATATATCAAAAAATCTTAATATATGCCGTTTTGAAAAAAATCATATTTCAACAACTATAATAGATCTAATACACAAGATAAAAATGTTCGCCGGAAAAAATCCGCACCCCTACCGTCATAATCACCATGTATTTTAATCCATTTCCAATATTTTCACATAATCCTTTGGTCCATCGACACAGAAGATATAATTCTTCACGATGATGGTCAATTTTAAACTTCAGCGGTAATATAAACAACGCAACAGCCGAAATAAACATCAATATTATCGCCGTTTTTTTTCAACGACAAAATCTTTCGATAAATTCAATGGACCAGACGGCTATGAACGAAGCTATCCGATTATGTGGCCCCAGCTTTGCCGTGTGCAAAATGCGCAGCGCTTTTAAGTTTGGGAACCACATAATCGGATAGCTTCGTTCATAGCCGTCTGGTCCATTGAATTTATCGAAAGATTTTGTCGTTGAAAAAAAACGGCGATAATATTGATGTTTATTTCGGCTGTTGCGTTGTTTATATTACCGCTGAAGTTTAAAATTGACCATCATCGTGAAGAATTATATCTTCTGTGTCGATGGACCAAAGGATTATGTGAAAATATTGGAAATGGATTAAAATACATGGTGATTATGACGGTAGGGGTGCGGATTTTTTCCGGCGAACATTTTTATCTTGTGTATTATTATAGTTGTTGAAATATGATTTTTTTTCAAAACGGCATATATTAAGATTTTTTGATATATATGATCAGTACATGTCCTGGGATTGACAAATATGCATTTTATTTGGATTTTAAAGGCGTTTTGAGCTCCAAACCACAAGCGTCTGTGGACGTACTGAGTCCATCCGGGTCCGGGTCAGTAACCTGCCGAGACGCCTTCGGTGACCGCTCAGATACCGCTCGGAAACTGGAGGAATATTTGGCGCCCAGGAGGTAAAAATTCTAACCGGTATGTAACCGATAACAAAAGGTGTCCGGCCGGGTATCGGAGGGTATTTTACCGTGTCTGCTACGTTGCGCTGGCGATGTACCGGATGCCGGAAGAAAATAACTCTGCACTAAAATTCTCCGATTACCCGTACGGTGCCCCACCGGTCACTTGACACCGGAGGGTCACCGGCCGGAGACCTTTAAAAAATTGGCAATTTCAGCCCGTTCAGGCATCGGTACTCCATCGTAGACCTAATCGGAGTGTAATGTGACGCAGGCTTTAAACGACATCTCCATATAAACCGCTAAGCCAATTTCATCCAAACTTCACAGGAATGTTCCTTTGGTAGTCAACTTTAAAAAATGTTCAAAGAATTTAATTCTAAGGAGAACTCTTGTTGCCATGGCAACCGAAAGAAAAAAAATATCTTCTTTTAGAAAACCGAAAGAGCTAGAGCTTAAAAATTTGGCATGAAACATCATTTGGTCAGTGTCTACCAAATTTGTTCAAATAAAAGCCCTGGGGTCAAAATTGGTCCCGCCCCAGGGGGGTCATTGTTTTTCCCTTTATGTATATAGTAAAAACTTTAAAAAAGTGCTAGAGCTAAGATATTTAGCATGAATTATCTTATAGTGAGTGACTACCAACTTTGTTCAAATAAAAGCCCCTTGGTTAAATTTGGTCCCGACCCGGGGCCCTATATACAGGTGAGCGATTTCAGGGCCATCATGGCCCTCTTGTTTTTTAAAAAGGGCAAACATGAGTTTTAGGTTATTTAAATAATGCGGTTAGAGCATGTTAGATTACTTGTTACCTGAAGAAAGCATCGCTGCATGTGAAATTAATTGCCATAAAAGTAACAAAAGTAGTAAAATGTAAACGATGTAGTGTTTTAAACAGGACTGATTTTGAGAATTTGGCTCTCTATAAGATGCTAGAGGCATTTTGTAGTACAAGTGGTATCTTGGTGTATTTTACCTATTTAAGGTATGCTGAATCCGATAAAGGTGGATACCAAACTGAAAAACTTGATCTTGACCATTGAAATGGCCATTTAAAATGACCACTAAAATGGCCGCCAAATTTCTTTATCATAAATGGATGATATATCAAATAAATTTTTAAGGAAAGGAAAAGTCTGAAATTTGTCAGAAAGTATGTTTAGGTAAAAACAAATTAGACACCAAAACATAATTTAAAAAAACAATCCAATTTGGCCGAAAAATCCAAGATGGCAGACATTTTTCTATAGGCTAATATAATAGTAATATAGAAGTAATATTAAAGATAGTACTGAAAATTTAAGGCATTTAAACATATTTAGGGTTTACACAGCGAACACTACACTCTTTCCTGCCCTATCTGCTAGATTTTATATTGCACTCTATGCAAGCATGAGATGCCTACTTATTTTGCACAGCGTAAATATGTATGAGGAGGTTAAAACGTGTGCATGCAAAATATACATTATTAAAGGCACCTTTTTCTAAGTCCTCTTGGGTTTTGGTGTTCGTTTTTCTGATCGGTCGTCGTCTTCGTTCTTCTGTTATCGGTTCTCGTCGCAGTTCTCTTATTGTCAGATCTTCTGTTATTGGTCGTGACTTTCGTTTTTCTGTTATTAGTCCTCGTCGCATTTCTCTGCTGTCAGATCTTCTGTTATTGGTCGTGACTTTTATTCTTCTGTCGCATATCTCTGCTGTCAGTTCTTCTGTTATTGGTCCTCGTCGCAGTTCTCTTGTTGTCAGATCTTCTGTTATTGGTCGTCGTCTTCGTTCTTCTGTTATCGT